GGACTAGATAATTTCTGGGGTATTTTCTAATTCTGAAAATGTTATGACTCCTAAAATAATATAAAATGTATTTTCTTTTTAAAATTGTTTTTATTTCATTAAATAATTCCTAATTACATGCAAAAATTAATAATCATTTTTTTTAATTTTGCATTCCAAATTCTCTCCCTTCCTCCAACCCCTCCTGCCTCCTTGAGAAGGCAAGCAATTTGATATTGATTAAAAATGTAAAGTCATACAATACATAAAATCTCACATTTTCCCCATGAGAAACAGGGGCAATCAATTTTTTTTAAAAATTGAAGACTTATTTGATCTATTTTGTTCCCTTTTTGCAAACTGTAGTCTCAGGTTTATTATTAGGTTTAAATACAAGTCAGAATCTTTCTCCTTGGGAGAACACTCTTGAGTACTGCTCTGAAACTCCTAAGGCAAAAATATGAGTCATTTCTTTATACTCCCAGAAAAATCTCCAGGTACACACTTATGCTCCTATTGGACTTGATCACTAGATTATGAAGACTGAACCACTATTGTGTCATGATGCACCATCTCCCTTTCTTTGATTATTCTCATCATTGCTCTGCCTTCAACAGGCTTCCCTCTACAAGTTTGTGGGAGTATGCATATTACACTTAAGATATAGAACTGAACTCTTAGTTTAGATGGGTTTGTGGCAAGTGGTTTGATTGCACCCAGTAAAAATAGATGTAATTAGCTCATTTCAAGTCAAACAATTGTTTTTCAAGTGGTGTTCTAGACATGGACTGATTCAAGTCAATATCCTTGTACTTTAGTTACAACTAGGTCCCGATTAATGTGAATAATGAATCAATCCCCTGTAGTGTTATGTATTTGAATTTCACTATTCCAAATTATAATTATATAAAATATGGTAATTGGTTCTAGAAAATGGAAATATGCAGTGTAAAAATTGGAACAAAATGAGACAATCTTAGTTCATTCAACAGCTAACAAGAAGAGATTTACTTAGCCATAAAAGGAGGAGGATATTCAACGAAGATAGTCATTGGGAACCTCTTCAGTTGGTTTAACTGAGAAAGTTCCCCTTGTGATACACCAACTTAGCATCTGAGAGTCCCTGCAGCTGCTTGTGTGTGCCATACATTCAGATGGTGAAGAAGTGACTTCCATATTCTGAGCTCTTAATCAACTGAGCCAGCTAAGTTTTGAGAAATGTCCCAATACTTTTAAAGGAAAATACTACTCTGACTTACATGGAAGAGAGGTTGCAACCACATAAGTGGTTGTGGGAACAGAAACTTAATTTCTCAGACAAAACTTTGAGCAAAGTATTCAAATCCATATTTGTAGAAATAAAACCTGGAAGAGAGAAAATTGTCTATAAAAATGTAATAAGTGAGACACTAGATTTCATCTGCCTTTTATAGCTAATTGGCTAGATGATTTTAAAGATATTACTTAACATCCCTTTTGTTTCTGGATGGCTTTCCTAAAGAGTTCATTGTAAGGGTTATTATTATCCCTTGTAGTCACTATTACTGCATTTGTGATGACACTGTTACTAGGCTATTTACCTCTAAGCAATGTGTTTTCAGTCCAGTAGGAGAAATTAACATGTATATAAATGGTCCTGATGGCCCACTTTCAAAACATAAAAGTACAAAAAAGATCTATTACCTGAAAGCATACAGTCATCTGTCCTAATCTTCACACACACAGATATTCATTTAAAATCTGAATATTTTGCATGCACGTTCAAAGAAATGGCTTATTGCATTTCCAACAGAAAGCGGAATAAATTGTTCATTGAAGATATAAAAAGTCATTTAGGACTTCATTTTTGCACATTTGAAATGAAAGACAACCCCAGCATTCCTAACATAGAATATCTGCTGACTCCAAATGAAGCTTCAGAAGTTAAGAATCACACATTGCAAATGTGCACTATAAATGATTTCTCCAGGAAGCTAAATGTATTAGAGTAAATGACCTCAATTGGATTTCTACCAGTCCTTCAGTATTGATTGCTTGTGCATTCAGATTGCTAGGGAACTGATGAAACAGCATAGATTGAAAAATCTAGAAACAGAATCAGTAGGAATACAAGAAAGACCACTATCTATGAGGATGATCTGTGATCTGCAAATGGACGAGCCCATTCAGAAGACATATAGGGAAAACTATGTGTTCTTCAACAATGATGAGAATTCCAAATTTATTTCAACTCACAGAAACATACTGAATATTCATTTCTGCAATTCAATGAACATTTATTAAGCTGTTAATAGAAGGCTTATGGCTAGAGATTGAGGGAAGTACAAAGGTGAATAAGGAGCTCCTCTTTTCCAGAAAGTTAAAATCGGGTTGAAGATAGTAGACTGATATATGTAACTATAATGCAGTTTATTGAAAAATAGTTATAACGTGTTATTTTTCATTATTGCACTTGCCATTTCTTTCACATAGCACACATTGAGAGATTGTAGGTCACCACCTTCCGAAACTTAGAGTTTTTTTACTTTCTCAGTCTCAGAAAGCCAGTATGTATCAGAGGTGGAATACCTACACCAAATTTTCTTCCCTTTAAATGGAGAACATATTCCAAGTTATACAATATATCAGTCCTGTCCCTGACGCTCCCAACCTTGGGTATGTCATTTTATGTGTTTGGAAATCATTTGACTAATCTGAAAAAATTGAGAGAACATCACCAGAAGAATATTACTTTTTAAAACATGGGTGTATCTTTCAGGGAGAAATTAGGGGTCATTCAAGCATAGCCTAGTTTTCCAAAAGTAATCCAATGTATTATCTTCCTCCTATTTGGTTTAGGGTCCAGTTCAGCCTTTATCTACAATATTCTCTAGCATTCTTTAGCATCAATGGCTCAAAGTGAAAAATAGACTCTATTATCTCATAAGATCTATCACTTGGGTATTTTGGTAATTTACTGTTTTTGATGGGTGAAGGTTAAAATAGATATACTATAAAGAAGATGGGATTTCTACCCTAGGATAGGGGAGCTGAAGTCTACATCAAATAAGATAAATGAATATAGAATCAAGGCAGCTTAACTATTTAAATAAATAGGTACTATGCATATGCTTTATACAGGAGAAATGTACAAGTTAAGTAATGTTTAGGTGACAAATTCAAAGTACAAGTTAACATATTCAAAAAAAAGGTCTTAGAGAGGAGGTAAACTTTAAACAATAGATATTCAGTTTTATGGGAATGGGGATCAAATTGCATGTGTGAACAGAAATCCAGATTCAGGTCATTAATTAAAAAAAAAGAAGAAAGAAAATAAATATTGGTTAAGTAGTATTCTGTATACAATGGGCATTCCAATATCATGCTGATTTCCAGGTTTTAACATTTGCTAACATAGCCCCACATTTCCAAATATTGTTTAGTTTTTCCTGTTTAATGCCCCACTCATGCCTCAAACTCAGTGTTTTTACAATTTAAAATTGAAATCTCTTCTTTCCTTATTTTCTCTATTCTTGTTAATGGCAAAGCTTTTGTGCCAATTCACAGAAGTTCAAATTTCCAACTCATATTTGATTTTGGGTTCTTTCTCATTTCCCATATCCACTCAGTTACCAGAATTTGCTGATTTTAGCTCAACAGTTTTTGATGGATTGGTATGAATGTATATATGTATGTGTAGATACATATATACATACAATAGAGAAAGACTACACAGTTTTTTTTCCTCTACAGTCTTTCAAATCTTTGCTCTCTTCTACTCCTAATGCCAGCACCCTAGTTCAGTTTTCAGCCTCTTACTGAAACTATTTTGACAATTTCTAACTGTTCTTCCTGCTTCCACTGTATGCCATCTTTAATCCATTCTTTACATATTGTCTTCATAATCTTCCCAATTCATTGTGTAGATCAAATTATTCCACTGAGCAAAAACCTTCAGGTATTCCCCATTGCATTCCTTTGCCTGGCATTCAGGGACCCCCACAAGATGGTTCTACCTTTATTTCACACTAATCTCTTTCATGAATTTTACTTTCTAGACAAATTGGACTAATCATTATCCCCTTTACCTACCTTTCCTTCACCTTTGCTCATTGTTTCTGCCATGCCTAGAATGAACTCATCCACTCTAGTGTAATTTATGCATACTGAGCTTAAATACTTCATATCAGCCCCACATTCCCAAATGCTATTTAGTTTCTCCTGCTTAATGTCCTGCTCATAACTCAAACTCAAGGTGCAGTTCATCCATGAAGCTTTCTCTGACCTCTCCACCTGGAAGTGATAACTCCACTGTGAAATTTCAGCTGAGAAAGACAATAGCCAGAAGGATCTGAAAAACTCACTAAAATATCAAATGAATATTTTTCACTTCTAAAAACACAATTCCACTAGTCAATTCAGTCAAGTTACTGATTAAAGTACCTAAAGAAACTTCTTCAAATTTCTTCTTAAGAGAAGTTAAATTCTATTTTTCAGGGAACATTTTCTTTTCTTTTTTTTCCTTCTACTCTCTTCAGAATGTGCTATAAATTGCCAATCCCTCACAGACTCTTCATAGAACTTTCTTAGTGATTGTTTTTTGTCATAAAATAAAAGTTAAGATAGTTTTAATAGAAAAGAAGTTTTTGATCATCTTCTTTCTCTATGTATTCACAATAGACTCCTCATAGATCAAAATTAAATTCACAGATGATTTGACTCTACTAGAGAAACATCTCATAGAATGACAGTTATAGCTCTCCAAATTGACATCTAAACCGTACTTTTCTCTACATTCCATCTGTTTCTTAAAAATATAATAGTCTGTAACTCAGTGAAATAGTTATCTCATATTGATAAGTGAACATGTGTTATCTACCTAACTAGATATGAATTCCTTGGAAATCTGGGACTGTGCTACACTTAATTAATTAGTCAAATGTCCCATACACAGCAGGAGTTTAATCAATTGCCAATTAATCAGTGCCTTAAATTGGATTGAATAATGCCAAATAATTGTTTTTTTATTGTCTTCATTCCTTTGTCTTGCAGAGATGACCTTAGTGGATAAATGCAGCAGTGGAAAGGAATAGAATAGAGGCAAAAGGTAAGACAAAATAGCATAAATAATATTGAAGTGTTGCAAAACTCAAGAGCAGTAGTTTAAACAAAAGAAAACCAAAGAAGGAGAACTGAAATATTGGAGCTAAAGAGTCATATGGCAATAGTTCCAAGTATAAAAAAGGATTTTTGGCTATGGGCCTGGAAGGAAAGGTCTGTATAGACCTATGTGTATGTCAGTTTATTCACATTATTACCACTGAGCAAGAATAATGGTTTCCCTCAATCCATACTTCAGTAATCACTAAGCATTGCTTAAAATTAATGTGACTGAATGCAATTTATTCTAAAGTAGTCCAAATGGTAAGCTCAAATATTATGTCTATCCTTGTTCTTTGGACAGATGGCACCTGTGGATAGTGCTGTTTCCACTATGGAATATATGTTCAATACCCACTGTGTGTTATAAAATACTATGGACAATGACATATACATGTAGATAAAAGCCCAAAAGACTGATCTGTGATCACTCATATCCTGACTGCAGGCATAATATGCTCTATAGTAATTGTAATAGTTATAACCAGTTTTTATCTCTTTTAGCATTAGATGGTATAATAGCATTTGTATGGAATAATAGAATTATTTTAATAACAATGCAGCACATAATGCCACCTTTCATATTTAGTATTGTCTCATATTAATTTTTTTAATGGAGGTCCCATTGTATTGATGATGAAAAGAATTTGTTATAGAAATCTGACAGATCTGTTTCATTTTGGAGGCAGATGGGGATATTTGGCTGTTTACCTACTTTTATTTTCATATTTAAGTAAAGTGAATGGGCCTCATGCCAAGTTTTCAGCATGCTTGCATTTTTTCCTCCCACTACTTATCATTGTTTTATGAAGCAATGACATTTATATTATTCTACCATCTCTTCTCCAAGCTTTTGAAAGTAATCTTACATTTTAAACTGATATTAGCCTCAAAAAGGGGGCTAAATATTTCTGAGATAAAAAAAAATTTTTAAGACTTTTGGCCTCCTTATTGTGTCAATTGTTTTAGATTGATTCAGTTTTGGTGGGAAATAGTGATAGCCTCATTAATGTCTTTTTCTTTTACTCAATTTTCATTTTCAAGTATCAAGAACTCTTTTAAATGAGACAGGTTGAAATAATTTTAATTTAATTCAGAACCTATTAAATCTTATTTTTTTTTATTCTGGCTTTATGTTCACTTTGTTCTTTGTCTAAACAGGGAAATGGTCTGATAGAATACAGACAGCTGATTCAGAAATTACTCCCACATCTAGCTGTTTCTGTTAATAAAGAGTTAATTTAATTTTTTTAGTGAAACTGTTCAGTGCTTGCTATAGCTAACACCTTATGACTGTTTTCTTAAAGATAGTACTTAAAATGTTTATGCATAAGTCTTCTGGGCAGCCAGAAAGCCTTTATTCTTTTTCATTTCTTCTCTTAATCATGGATAATATTTTCCCTTTTCTTCACCATCTTTCCTTATACTCACCTTTGTATGAATTTACTGAGTTAATAGAATATCTTGACCTTTTCATCCTCTGCAATCATGTTGTATGTCATAATAATAACAAGGTGGTCTTTGGTTTTATGCTTATCATGACCATTGGAATATGAGATTATTAAGAATCCCATTAAATGATATTTTTTATGGTCATTTGTGGTACAATGAAACTTATTCTAGCTACTTGATTTGTCTTTCCAAGGAGAAGCTGTGAGCCATTCTTCTACTTAGCTACAATTTCCTTCTGTCTGTCACTTTTGCTCCCAATAAGAATGCCAATACTGATAACATTCAGTTCCTTACTAGTATGTCAATTAATAAGCAATTCAAGTATATTTCATATACTAAACTACTGAGTTTTCATTATTTCTGTCAGTGAAGGATGAATATTTTCACAAAGAAAATTATATATGGTTTAAATAATGAAAGAAGTGTGGAGAGATGCTATAACACCAAAAACTATGCCTCATGGAGGACCAAACACTAGGGATGATCAAATTAACCATTTGCTTATCAGTTTTATATCAATTGATGTAAGTAAGACTTTTGATAAAGTTCAACACTCATTCCTATTAAAAACACTTGAAAGCATTGGTATGAATAGATTTTTCCTTAAATTGATAAGAAGCATGTATCTAAAACCATTAGCAAGTCTTATTTGTAATGGAAATAAACTAAAAGCCTTCCCAGTAAGATTAGGTGTGAAACAAGAAGGCCCACTGTCAGCAGTGTAATTCAACATTTTGTCGGAAATCCTAGCAATAGCAATAAGATAAGAAAAAGAAATAGAAGGAATAAGAATAGGGAATGAGGTGATAAAACTATCTCTTTTTGCAGATATTATGATGATATACTTGGAAAATTCCAAAGACTAAACTGAAAAAGTTAGTTGAAACAATTATTTTTAGCAAAGTAGCAGTATATAAAGTAAATCCACATAAATAATTAGCATTCCTGTATATCACAAACAAAACTCAGCAAGGAGCAATAGTAAAAGATATCCCATTTAAATAACTCTAGATAGTATAAAACATTTGGGAGTACACCTGCCAAAATAAACCTAGGAAATATATAAACAAAATTATTTTTAAAAAAACTTTATGTAATAAAATCAGATTTAAATAATTGGAGAAATATTAATTGTTAGTGGGTAGGCATGACCAATATAATAAAACTGACAGTTTTAACTAATTAATACATCTAATACCATCCAAATTAAATCACTAAAAAATATTTCTGTGAAATAGAAAAAATAATAACAAAATGTATTTGGGAGAACAAAAAGTCAAGAATATCAAAGGAAATAATGGGGGGAAAAGCAAAGAAAGGAGGTTTAGGAGTTCTACATCTTAAATTATATTATAAAGCAGTAATTATCAAAACTATCTTGTACAGGATAAGAAATAGAAAGGTAGTTCAGTAGAATAGAGTAGATATACAATTCATAACAGCAAATAAACATAACAACCTTGTATTTGACAAGTGTAAAGACTTAAGATTTTGGAACAAAAATTCATTATTTGGTAAAAAAAAATTGGAAAAACTGGAAAGCAGTATGGCAGAAACTGGGCATAAACCAATATTTTACAGTATTTACCAAGATAAAGTCAAAATAAATCCATGATACAGGTATAAAGAGAAATATTGCAAGAAAATTACAAGAATATGAAACATTACTGACTTATGAATAGGTGAACAATTTATAAATAAAAAAGAAAGAGCAAAGTTAGATGTAAAATGGATCATTTTGATTACATTAAATTTAAAAAAGTTTTTATATGAATAAAACAAATGTAGTCAAGATCAGAAGGAAAACCAAAAATTGGGAAAAATTTTTTATAGTTTATCAGATGTCTCATATCTAAAATATATAAAGAACTTTGTCAAATCTGTAAGAATGTAAATCATTCCTCAATTGATAAATGGTCAAGGATATGAATAGGTAGTTTTTAAATGAAGAAATCAAAATAATTTATAGTCAGATGAAAAAATGCTCTAAATCATTGTTGATTAGGAAAATGCAAATTAAGACAACATTGAAATATCATTTTACATCTACCAGATTGGGTAAAATGATTGAAAAGTGAAAGCAACAAATATTGGGGGAAATGTGGAAAAATTGAGACACTAATTCCTTGTTGGTGGATCTGTAAGCTCATCAACCATTTTGGAGAGCAATCTGGAATTATGTCCAAAGAGTTATTAAACTACCTATGCCCTTTGACCCAACAATACCACTACTAGATCTATATCCAAAGATGGTTAGGGAAAAAGGAAAAGAACCCATATGTTCTAAAATGTTTATAGCAGCTCTCTTTGTCATGACAAAGAATTGGAAATTGCAGAGATGCCCACCAATTATACAATGATTGAACAAGTTGTGGTATACAAAATGAAATCCTATTGCATTATAAGAAATGATGAGCTCAATGATTTTAGAAAGACCTGTATGAAATAATAAAGAGTGAACTTAGCAAAATCGAGAGAGCATTGTATACTGTAACAGCAATATTGTTTTAAGAATTACTTTGAGTGAATAAATTATTTTGACTATTAGAATACCCAATATAAACATAAAGGTATGGAAATGCTTATTTTATTCCATATATTAAAAATAAAATATTTTTTTTAGAGAGAAAGATACACCACAGGTCTTTGATCCATAAAGAGTCTTCGGAGCATCATAAAAGTACTTTGGATTGTTACTATCAGTGTAAAACTGAATTTCATCTGCCATCTTACCTCAATGAGCCAAGAGTTCTGCATCTCTCTAAGCTTCACTTGCACTTTACCTTTGATGGAGTTAAATATTACCTTCTTAGAGATGGACAAACTATCCTGCTGGTAAACCCTGTGGAATTCTTGTTTTTCATTTAGCAGCTTCTGAATATCCTCATCATTTTCATCAAATTGATCTTGATATTTCGGTATGGTCTGACCCAGATGAGTAAGAGCAGTGATATAAACCAAATCTTTAAAAGCTGCCCACTTCTTTTCTGCTCCACTATTGCCAACCATGTATTGGCTCTGCTTTCCCTTCAAGTTAGCTCTGATTTGTTGACATTAAACCTTTTTGTAATCATCTTGCCTTGGGGACACAGCTTTTGTTTAATATGAATGCTTAGCTTGGAGAGGATAAGTCTGTAATTGGTCCAGCATTCTTACCACATATTTCCTTCATTACTCTCATATCCCATCCATCTCTTCTCCTTACAGTGACATAATCTATTAAATGCCAATGTTTGTTGTGAGAGTACATCCATGAAGTTTTATTGTATTCAGATAAATGGAAGACAATGTTGGTGATAAGAAGGTTATGAAATGCACAAGTCTTCAGTAGTAAGAAATTGTTGCTGTTGCTGTTTCTAACTCCATTCTTCCAAAGGACTCCTTGCTTTGTTTGATCATATGTGCCTGCTCTGGTGTTAAAGTCACTCACAATTACAAGCTTGTTCTCTTTCAGCATATTGATGATGAAAATCTCCAGGTCTTCATAAAATTTTT